CAAATAAGTGATATTGGTTCTATGACGTGGTTTCACAAAAACAATTGAGAACAATTTACAGATGAGCAATGAGCCGTGAAATAGCGTTCCAGAATAGCGACGACCACTAAAGAAACCACCCCCGTCCCATCCATCCCCGCTTTACGCCCTCTCATCCAATTTTCAATGCAGTCAATTGTGGCACACACCATTGATCGACGTGTGTCGATGCCTACGTGTGTGGGTTTTTTTTTCTGTTTTCTCATGAATGGCATGACTGACTGCCAGTGGAAATTTCGATGGTTTCTGAACAACGATTTTGACCAGTTTTGGTAATCTAAGCAGTAAACGCCCTCATTGTGATGCTTTTTCCCGTCGCAACGGCAACCAGTTTCATGCTGAGTCCTTTTTTGTTCTTACGTATTACATTGTAATAGACACTCTGAGTTCTACCTAGTTACCGCTACTTATGCAGCTTTTCCTCTTACTAATCATAAGTAGTTCGATACCTTTTGAACAATTCCATGGCTCTTACTCTTACTAGTCTTAATTCTTCACTGAACCCATGCAATGACCTTCGAATTTTTGCTGGATTGAACTATAGATTTTCTTTCCATCGATTGACTGCCATCACTGCCTTAAGTGGTTCAGCGATTGAAGAAACAACCGAAACCCGACTTGTGTCTTACTATTTAACCCATAACGGACGGCGTGCGCCACATGGTGGCGCACGATTATTTCTTTTGTTTTTGGAATGTTTCTAGCAATCTTAATATACCCGTATATACTCTCAGCAATGTGGAATAACATATCTTCCCAGGACCTGGACGGCTGGATTTTTGACAAACCTACAATAAATTTTACATACATTTTGTCTTAATTTACATAAGTTTACTATTTGATGGGTGGCTTACCCATGGTTCGCACGTCCCGAGACCCCTTCCCCTAAATACACTGCGACGCATAATCTTAGTTCCACCTACAAATTTCCCAAAAACTAGAATTTGGAGATGTTTTTGAAAAGGGCTCTACAGACAAATTGTGACACATGCAAATGCGAATCTGAATATTATCACGGAAATCCAGTTTGAGAAAGCAAAATTTTTTATCC